CGCCAAGCTCACTTTCTGCGCAAGCGCAACATAGGCCGCTTTCTCTTTCCCCTCCCGCCTGCACAGCCTTCTGGGAAATGTAGTCTTGGGGTGGGTGCTGTTGCCTACCGAGCTTACTGCCCAAATCCCTCCGAAATACACAATTCGGAAGGAAAAAGTGAATACCCACACCCCTAGATCTCCTCTCCTAACCCTAGGACACACAGTCTTCGTGCTACGAACCTTTCTCCCACACTCACTGCGCGCACACCCAGCCCAAGACCCCAGGCCGCCCTAGACGCCCCTCTACCGAGCGTCCGCCAGCTGGCTGGCGCCCCTTCCCGGGCTGGCGGCCACTCGGCGTCTCCACTCCGCTGTAGACCGAGTAGGGTAGGTGCAGGGAGGTGGGCGCTGTGAATCAGAAGGGCAAGGGGAGGGAGCCTGTAGGCTGTGCTGAAGGACACAGAGGTTGGCGTGGGGGAGTGTCCTCGGCTCCCATATTGTGCCTCCTCTGTGGGAAGCCCACGTCGCCCTGATGCGGAACGGAGAGCTGGAGTGGCGCTGTCTGGGCTTGGGAGGACCTAGCCGAGCTGACCAAGATCACCTGTCGGGATGACAGGCTGTCTCCGAGCCAGAGCCAGCCCCGGCACAGGAATGGCCCTGAGGCCGTTGGTGTTGGTAGCATCCGTCCGCTGCTCGGTCTCCCTCCCCAGGAGAACTGCGATCGATCAATACCGCCTCTTCCCAAAGCCTGGCTGGACCCTGAACCTATCCATCACCGTGGTTGCTTTTCCTAATGAATCTCCTCTCCGCTGGACGGGCTGCCACGGGAACCTTGGCACAGGGAGATTTCTCATCAGCTCGGTTATTTTCTTTGCCGAGGCCTGGAAAGTACCTTCATCATCCACTGATTTCGTTTTCACGGCTGATAACATTTCTCCCCACCCTCACACAATCAAGTCCACTCCCCTCCACCCACACCACGACGTCTGCAAAAGGGAGACCAGTCCTCTTTTCCCACCTCACTCTCTCATACCTCATTCCATACTTATCCCTTCAACGGGGGAAACTAAATTTGAGGATAAAATAAGTCGATAGCTCCCTTTCATGCAGCCAAGGTGTAGGTACTTCAAGGATTCTCTCTGAGGGCCGGACTCTTCACCTGAGATCCATGGCGGGTTTTTTTAGGGGCCCAGTAATCAGGTAAAATTGAACGTAAAATCGCATATAGGTGTATTTTTCTAGGAAGTGGAAATGTAGCATGTGACTGTCAGAAGGGTGGGGACTGTGGGGGGAGTGGGGGGTGTGTGCACGCGCATGAACAAACCAGTTTGTTCAGCAAAAACCTTGTGGTTAAGAGGGCAAAGCATATGGCGGTCAACTCCTGGCAAGAAGTCTGCCTGGGCCACAGATGATAGGAGAGTAAAGGAAGCTGCCATCCCTTTGCCTTGTGAATTTGCCCCCAACTGGCTAATGAGACCCAGTTACTAGGAACTAACTGGGTACCACCCAGAGGCGAGATCACCAGACTGGAGCCTGCCAGGAACAACTGCTCAGCCAGCAGACTCTGTTAGTTGGATGGAGGATGGAAAGGGATGATGTCTTGGTGGAAATGGTGATATTGGTCCAAGGATAAAAAGGGGTGAAAAAAAAATTTCCCCCAGAAGGGCTCCAGTCTCAGCTCCTTGAAGGCAAATGCTCACAGCACTGTTTATTCAAATATGTAATAAGAAGCACCAGAAAACAGCATGCAGCATTCTCTCCCCCACCCGGAAATAAGTCTGTGACTGTGATGGCAAAAGGCACTCACATCCAGGAAATGTCTCAGAAGGGACACCTTCTCCTCCCTTCAGCCTGAGGAGGAGGTGCGTGGTGATGCCAGCCTGCTGGGAGGCACATGGAGTCCTGTGAGGACAGGACAGCCCTGAGCCCCGAGCCCAGCCTGGCCCCTGGGGGTAATGAGGTGATAGAGCCTTTCTTTTCAGGGTGGCCATAGAGAGGGAGAGCATGGCCGAAACCGAGGCCCCGCTGGCCGAGAATGAGGAAGAGCCTCCTCCATTCTAGGGGGAATTCGGGGCAAGGAGTCCCTGGCAGAAGTGAACACCCCTCTGTCCCTGGTTGAAGAGCCGGTGCTAACTTCAGCCTCCAAATGAAAACCTCTCTCCACATTTCAAATAAATTATAAATATGTACACTGAACCCAAAGTTCCAGTAGAAGCTGCTCACAGACCCCCGTCGGGGCTGGCTTGGAGAAAAATAAAGGTCATCCCAACCCCACCCTTAAGGACCGATGGGGACAGCCCCGGACTGAAAGAGAGGCTCAGACTTGGAAACACTATCACCCCCATCCTCCTTTCTTCCCTCCTCAAATCTCTTCCCCACCCCCACTCCCAAATCTTAAAAAAAAAAAAGCCACATCAAATCCAGTAATTCTTTCCTGAAAGATTCTAGAGCATATAGGGAAGGATTTCACACTCATACTCTCTTTCTGGGGAAACTCTGACCCCAAAAGGAAATGACTGGCCCAAAGTCAAGGGTCCTCATGCCCAGTCACAAACACAAGTCTGGATGGCATTTAGGGACACGAGGAGGTTGGGCAGTGTTGACTCAGTCCTGATGTAAGCCTGGCACAGGGCACATTCACCTTTGGGATGCAAAGTGGGCCAAGTGGCTCCAGGTTGGGAAACCGTTGGATTCTTCCCTGTTCATCCTTCCACAGCACCCCAGTGGCCAGCTGGGTAGAAAATGGATGTCCCTTATGCCGTTAGCATGAACTCTCAGGCCTCGGGGTTCGGAGGGCAAAGGCAGTGCCAGGAAGAGGAAACACACCAAAGACAAAAATGGAACTGGGTCCCACAGTGAAGAAGCACCAATCGCAGCAGCCTGCCCTGGGCTGAGGAGCAGCGAGGGTCTGGGGAAAGTGAGGGCACAGGCAGGGACCAGAGAGCAAAGGGAGGGGCGTGTCTTCTTGTATCAGCGAGCAGGAGTAAGTATGAAAGAGCAGCGCTTGTAGGGGTGGAACAATAAAATGGGCCCATCCACCCAGGCTCTAGGGCTCTGGGACAACTTGGCCTCATGATGGTCCTTTGGGCTCTGCGACAACCCAAACCTGGCCCCTGGGGAGGGCAGGCAAGGCCTGGACAGACTGCAAGTAGGACCTCAGCACCTCAGACCCAGAGGCTGGGGAGGATGCACAGGGAGGCTGGAGCTGGAGGGTTGGGGGCTGATGTGGTGACCTCTCATCCCATGTCCCGACCAAGCCCGAGAGGGAGGGAGGGAGGTCCGGAGTTTCTAGGGTAAGTATGAGTTTGGAGCGTCAGTGGAAAGCTGTTCCAGCTTTCCTAGTCTGCGGGACTAGAAGAAACTGATTCTGACTACAAGTTTCGGGGTTGTAGCTTTTTGTGGGACCCAAGGAAATGGCAACTTGGCTGCAGTTCATCTACTCCCCACGGTCTCCAGGCCTTGCCAGGACCTTCTAGGTCAGTCGGCCTCCCTGGTTCACCCCGGTGGGCTCTGAGGGCAAGCAGAGGCCAGGGAGGGTGGGGTGGAGGGTGGGGGCGGGCAGGGGAGTTGGAGAGCACTCTGTGCTCCGGGCAGACTGGAGCTCAATGCAGACACAGGGCTGGACGACAACCATGGAGGAGAGGTCACCAAATCACTGTCGGGCCTCCGTGCAAGGGACCAGGGAGAAGGCTGCCAGCCAGTGTCCGCTCCTCCCTTTTATTGAAGCTGGGCAGAGTGGGAAGACGGAAGCTGTCAGGAAGCAGTCTCTCTCGGGGCGCTGGCCTCCTGTCCACCCACCCTCACCTGCCATAGAGGCCGGCCTTGAGGCTGAGTGAGACCCCCCAGGTAAGATGTCTGAGGCCAGGTGGCAGACAAGCAGCATGGAGCTCCTGCCACCCAGGGCTCCACAGAAACGAGGGACAGGAAATCACCCGCAGGCCGACGACTGCTGGCCATCTTCTCAAAGCCCAGAGTGATGGAGGAGGGGAGAGCAGGGAGGAAGAAGAGGAAGGTGCTGGGAGGTGGTTGAGGAGGTGGCGTCCAAGTCCAGGTGGGAGCTGCTTACTGCTTCTCCAGGGCGCCCTGCTCAGCTGCACTCTCCTGGCTGGGCCCCTGGCCCTGGTCCTGGCTCTGCCCATGCCACGGGGTCTCCTTGAAGACAAACCAACAGTTCCCAGCCCACAGGAAGAAGTTGATAAAACCGAAGAGCTGCAAAGACATTAGGGGAGTTTGTGAGAATATGAAGGGGGGTGTTGGAGAACAAGAAGGGGGAGTTCCTGTGTGTGCCTGTGTGTCCCCAAAGATGTGGGAAGCAACACCGCACCAAAACTCACTGCCATCCAGTGGATTCTGACTCATAGAGACCCCCGATCATACTCCCTATCGGGCGGGGAAGGACTGCCCCCCATGGGTTTTCCAAGGCTGTAAATCTTAGAGAGCAGAAAGCCTTAACGTTCTCCCTTGGAGCGGCTTGTGCAGCCCATTACATCACCCACTACACTGAGAGGCCTCCTTTTGGGAAGAGGCAGGCAGAGAAATGGGTAGGGGCGGGGCTCCAGGCCATCACGCCTGCTTTGGTCACTCGGAGGAGAGCAGCCAAGAGTTGAGTCACAGGGGACCCTCTGAGTAGCACATTGTGGGGTGGAGTGGGGGCTGGAGCTGTCCAAGGTGCTCCTTCCCTAGGGCCCGGGATCTGACTAGGGCTGCGTTCCAATATGTATTCAAAACATTAAAAAGCCTGTAGGCAGGACAGCCCTAAGAAGACGTGTACCGATGCCTGCAGCTGACTTTGGAAAGCACTGGAAACCAGGCAGCGTAAGGGATGGAGAGTGATAAAGGCAGTCTGGGGAAATGTTCATGGCACAGTCTAGATGGGGGAGGTTCCTTCAACTTCGCACTATATGTGAACTTTCCCACAACCAAATGTTAGTGGGGAGGTGAAATGCTGGGTGCCGCCAGCCAGCCTCCCCAGTGTAAAACCAAGGCGCCCTCCAGCTGTGGGACTGTGGTGAGGGCCAGGAACACCAGGGTAGCTGTGGGGCTGTGGTAAGGTGGTCAGGGTCAGAGGGGACATTTGAGAAGTTCAAGGAAGGTCTCTGCTATTTTACTAAGGGATTTGAAGCCATTTCAACAATTGCTATCGACAAACACGCATCTACCAGCTGGATCCACCACTGCCCGAAAGTCCCTTTCCAGCCTGGAGGGCTGAGCTGTAAGGAGTCCCTTCTAACTCCCTGTGGATATGGACCCAGCTCTGAGCCCAGCCACAGACCAGCTCCTGACAGTCCTCCCCCTGCGGGTGCTCCAGGGCACCCATGGGAGCAGGCGGGAGGAGTGTGAGTATTCCTGGAGCCCAGGGGAAGAGAAGGAAGCTGGGCAGACAGAGTGCAGGAGGAAGGGACGGGAGGCTAAGAGGCCTCACATACTGTCTGCTCAGAAACAGCCAGGGACCAGCACCAGGCATCGGTGCAGAGGATTCGAGCTCTGGGAAGGTGCTCTAGGTCTTTTCCAGAGCCTGCTAGCTGGGACAGGGCTGGGCAGCTGAGATGGCACTGCCTCCCCCAGCCCCTGCAGTAGCCTGCAGAGGTCTCACCACCGAGATGTTGACCAGACCCATGGAGGGTGTCGCCCCGCCACTGCACACGGCTTCCTCGCCGTGACACACGGACATAGCTGCGGTCAGGCTGGATGGCCGGGTGGCCCCCTTGACATCGGTCAAGCCCTTGCCCCAGGCAGCTGCAGCTACCAGCCAGAAGAAGGTGAAGGAGACGGTCACACAGAAGTCCTGGAAGAAGTAGAGGGGAAGGGCATGCGCTTAGAAATACTGCGAGCGGCACATGCACCGAGGTCCCTGGATCCCGAGAAAGCTGCCCCTCCCTCTGCTGCCCCAAACCAAGAGCCTCCAGAGCCCAGGGTTTTCCTCAGTAGGGCCAGGCAAAAATGTAACAGGACACCCGCCAGTCAGCGTCACTCCAATGCTCAGGGGGCCTCAACGCCCCACTCCCCTCTCCCCGCCTTTCCTTTGGTCACTGTACTGGTTGGAGGGATGACAGATGACAGAGGACAAGTGAGGTCCCCCGAGGGACCCCTTGTGGGCCTGGGATAAGAACAACATATGGGGGAAATGATCACCAGCTAACACTTACGAAGGACACCTATGTACCAGATGTGTCATGTGCATGATCTCATTGCATTCTCCCCGACAACATGAGGTAGGCACTATTTTTATCCCCATTTGCTAGTTGAAGAAAACTTCAGCTTTGCGAAGATAAGGAACTTTTGCAAGACCCCACAGCTGGTGAGGGCAGAGCTGGGACTTGAAGCCATGCAGGCTGACTGTAGAGCCTGCTTCCCTGTGCTGAGAGCAGGAGGCATCATGGAGGCGGGAAGGGGCAGAGCCCTGAGAGCCAGACCTTCCACTGGCCCAGGGAACGGTGGGAGCCACAGCTCCTGAAAGGAACAACAGCAAGGAATGGGCAGGGAGGGAGATGCAGGAAGCTCCCAATATGGGTGTCATGGCCCCCAGGAGGCGGCCTCTTTGTCCTCCCTACCCTGTTGTCCTGCCTTCCCAGCTCAGACCTCAGTTCCAGAGCCAGCGTCTCCCCCTGGGCTCCACTCACCACCAGCGGGAAGCGCTTGTCGTCCGCGTAGAGGTTGTGGAAGCGCAGGTAGAGCACAAGGGCAGCCATGGTGTAGAAGAAGGAAAAGACGCCCAGGGTCACAAAGAACTCAGCGGGGGCCGAGAAGTCCCCCATGAGGTGCAAGGTCTTCGAGGTGGAGTCGTCGTCACACAGGGGCATCTCATACTGGACCCGGTTCAACCTGCGGGCAGGAGGGGAGGCCCCACGGAGTTCAAGAAGAGCCTCTCTCTGTGAAGGTAGGGGCCCTCGGCTCCAGGAGGAAGCCAGGGCTAGCTCCTGCCTGGAGACTCCATCAGAGCCCAGCGGGGAGCTGGTGGCTCCTTACAGAGGAACATTTCTTGAGGAGACCTTGCAGTTAAAAATCGGACTCCCACAAACTGCCTGGGGATTCCAGGCAAACCCTGTATCCCCATGGCTGCCCCCCTGCCCAGACATGAAGACCGCGTTCTTCCAAGGCCCTTTAGACCACAACCAAAACATAGTCCATCTATTTCAGGTGGTCACAGGGAGCAGGTGAGCTGCCTTCTGCCTGTTGGGGAGCAGAGGGCTGGAGCCACCCATTACCAGCCCTTACCGGGGCCTATTGAGATCACATCGAGGAAAACAACCTTTTATAGGTGAGACAGTTCCTCTAACGTGGGTGCTGGCACAGGAAAGGTCTGAAGAGAGGAGCCCGGCCATTCTGTGAACACCCATTCTCCTCTTCCTCATTGTCTTAGCGCTGGGTTCCTCTTTCACAGGACTCTCTTCCATACTGGACAAGATGTGCCCCGTCGTCGGGCGGTAGACTTGATGCATTGTCCCATGCCATCCATTTAGGTTCTAAGTCCTAACAGAGGCAGCGGTGGGCTGCTGAGGATCAGGCGGACCTGCCCACCCCGCCCACATCCCTTGAAGCCTCCCTCGCAAAGGGCATGGGCTCTTTCTGCAGACACGGTTGTTCCCTGCTGCAGGTGGTCCCTGGATTGCAGGACTGATCCATGTTTCCCCTGTCCGGGATTCCAAGAGTACAGGAAGGACCCAAGTCTTGTCATCTGACCTGAATACAGAGTGACATACCATAAATGGTCTAGAGGGAGAAGGAGAAGAAAGAGGAGGAGGAGGAAGAGAAAGCCCAGGCCAGCGAGAGACTGTGCTGTATCAGGACAGATCCCTGCTCACCTGAAGGGATAGCCGAATGAAACAATGATGAAGCTCACGTCCTTGGCCTCGTTGTTGCAGCGAACCATTGCTCCTGTCTCCCCGCTGTAGGAGCCGCAGGACCCGAAGGCGAAAATAGCAAAGAGCTGAGGGAAAGCAAAGTCCCTTTGAGAGTCAGAAGGCCTCAGGTGGTCAAGACAGTTCCCCTAAGAAGGAGCCCTGACTGCCAGCATGATACAGATCAGGGTGGGGGCTGGGGGGGGGGGATTCTTTTCAATCAAGCTCCTCTTGGACAGGGTCTCCCAAGGCTGCCATTGGTCTCCCAGGCTCAGGGGGGCTGTGTTCACAGCACAGGGTGTGGACTAATTAGCCAAATGATTAAGGCCAGCATTGCAGTGTCTGGGAGGGAGATGAAGAGAGAGAAATGCACAGTTTCCAGGTCTTTCCATGGAGCATGGCACTGGGGACCAGAAGCCCCAAGGATGATGACTAACACAAAACCTCTGCCAAGTCCGGCATTGGAGAAACATCTAGTTTTAAAGCTAGCTTTGGATATCCCCCCCTACGGGAGACATGCCCTCAGAAATAGCTTTTTCTGCACCAGCCTAGGCCAGGCACGACTGGACTGATGAGATCCAATTTCCTTTGAACCAGCCAGTGAACTGGCCACTAGCGTGTTGCCCATTCACACTGCAGCAGTGGGAGTGTAGCTGCAAGGGGTGACTTCTGCCGAGCCTTCAAAAGGGCTGGTGGGGCAAGCGCCACACTGCTGCCAGCACTCCTTGTTCGCCTCAAAGGCACATTTCCCTCCCATGACAGTGCTGATAGGGCTGGGCAGAAGCTGGCAGTCCTGGCGTAAGTCCAGAAGGAAGTACCCTCCACTAGCCTTATCAGCTTTCCACTCTGCCCCCACTGTGTTGCCCTCAGCAATCTGTTGATGCTGCTATGTCTCAGTGCCAAGGAACACAGGCATTCCGGCCACCTGAACAGACGCGTGCCTCGCTACCTCTCAACACATTTCACCAGACCTCCCACCTGGAGCATACACACATTTCTCTCGTCCTGTGACTTTCGAGTTTCTTCCCTGGGGAAAAAGGAGGTGACCAGGTGGACTCCATGATCTCTCCCCACTATCACGCCAGGCCTGGGTTCCTGTGCACGGGCCATCGACTCGTATACACTGCCATTGCTCTTAGTCAGCAGGGGGCCGACTGTGGTTGTCCATTTTCTACACGCTTCTCAGTGACCCAGTGTCTGGGGACAGGAAGTCAGAAGACAGCTAGTCAACATCCCAGCCCTGCATCCCATGAAGAGAAAGGCTTCATGGGTATATATTATTTTGCTAGGGCTTTAGCCTTCTGGAGTAAAAGGAGACCTAGATGGGGAGACAGCAAGCTGGGTTCCTATCCTGGCCCTGTCACTAATTATTTGGCTAACCTCTGAGAACAGTCCCCTCTAAGCCTCAAGTCTCCTCTCCTGCAGACGCAGGGCCTTAGAGGGGCCATCTAGTGGCCTCTCTAGCTCTGCTCATCTCTCTCTTTGAGGGCAATGCCGTCTGTCAGTGTGTTCTTGGCTGGGCCTGCCAACAGCTGTGCTCTGCCCCTGGGTGGTGTCCAGGGCCAGTACGAGGCCTGGTATCGGCTGTCCTGGCAGGTCTTCTCCATGGAGGGGCCACTGACCCTTCTCGAAAGGTCACCCTGGGCACCTCTCGGAGTCCAGGGGCGTCATTGCAGACCACTAGGGAGTTTGCCCATTTTTAAAGACATCCAGGCAAGAGACGGTACAACCTCTCTTCCCTGCCTGGAAGACCCTCACTGAACTCCAATCTCAAGGCTGGCATGGAACCATCTGTGTGGGCTGAAAAGAAGTCACGCAAAGCCTTTACTCAGTTACTCTTGACATCCTCACGGTGCCCGCAGCAGGGACACGGCGTGGGCCTTCTACAACCTTTCTCCAGAGCGAGGCTCTAACCTCCCGTCAGCTCTGCGTCTGTTAGAAGTTGCCTTGTCTCTCTTAGCTTCTGGTGCCCAGAACTGAACACAATTAGCGTGTCACCTTCTAGGAAGGGCAGTGCGATTGGATATATTTTTACACACTGGACGTCCGTCGGTGCACGGCTCGGCAAAGGTCCCCTAGGAAAAGTAGGCATCTCGAGCTGGGAGCACTGAACAGCCGGTGACGGAGCCTTCTCTTCATCAGCACTCTCTTGAACAGGCCCTTCTGAACACCGGCAGAAAGATGCTGTTTGTTGCGCAGCTACTCTGAACCAGGCCTTGTTTTAAAAGTGAGTGAACACAAAAGAAGAAAGAAAGCCCCTGTCCTCCTGGGACTCCTTACCAGAGAGCCGCTCTTTCCAGGACAGCAGCCACTAGCCACAGGGGACTACGTCAATGACTTAAAAGGAAAAAACCGAGTTCCTCATTTCAACTGCCCAATAGGCACATGGGGCTAGCACGTACGTTCCACACCGCTCAGCACGGATGGCAAAACCTTCCATCGTTCCAGAAAGTTCAACAGTATCTGGAGGATGACCTTGAAGCTCTAAAAGTTCTGAGCCCTGCTTTCTGATTCTTCAGAGGACAATATGCCCATAATAACCTTAGTACTTACTGAGTGTCTGCGCTTGCAGTTAGGTTCTTCGATAGTCAGGAATCTTCAAAACTAGCCGTGAGCTCTCTTTATTATCCAGCATGCATTACTATATATCTGAACACCAACGGTCAGCTGGTGCCAGATCACAAGAGAGTCTGCTAGACAGGATGAAGAAGGGGAAAATCCGAGGGGAATTCTAGAGGTTCACAGAACAGCGGGGGGGAGGGGTCTCAGAGACAATCAAGTCCACTGGTCTCATGTCACAGAGGTGTAAACTGAAACCTCCAGAGAGGAAGCGACTTCCCCAAGGTCACGGTTAGCTGAGAGATGAGAGCCAGGCTAAAGTTCACATCTGTGGATTCCCTGTGCACTGCTCTGTCCACTCCAGGCATTCGTGAATGCAAATGTATCGAGCATCTACTTTATGCCTGGCGCTAGCGACGGCAATGGTTAAGACCTGACTCCTGCCCTCAAGAGCTCACTTTCAGAAAGGATAGTGCTGTGATAAAGCAAGCACAGAAACAAGAAACAAAGCCCTGTCTCACCCTTATGAAGGCGAACATGGAGAGCTCTACCATGTGCAGGGAGGACTGCAAGGAGGGAGAGGTGAGCTCTGTGCCTGGGGTGCAGAGGCAGAGAAGGACACACCTTCTGAACCCCTCCCGTGACGCAGACCCCTCCAGCTTTCTGCATCAGATTCGGTTTCTTGCCTGTGTGTGTGAGAGAAAGAGAACCGACACCAGCGCCGATGGCAAGCACAAGACTCAGAGATGAGCCAATGGTCTTAATAAACTAGAGCCAAGGAAAGATGTGTCCTGAGGCAGAGAACCGTCCCATCAAGGATCCCTGGTGGGGTGAGGATTAGAAGTTGGGCTGTGATTCACAGTCACCAGATGGAAATCACCAAGTGCTCTCCAGGAGAAAGAAAGACGAGGCTTTCTCTGAAACTCGCAGGAGCAGTTTTGCCTTGGCCTATAAGGTCACTATGAGTTGGCATTGACTAGATAAGTTTCCTTTGGTTTTGGTTGGGGCCCATGAACCTCCTACTCTGGGACCTCCAGCACTGCAGAGAGGGCAGGGCGGGGAGCATGCACAAGTCCCCTCCCTGCTCCTCTCCTTCCTCTACCGCCTCTTCACCTCTTTGCGAAGGATGTCAGGATGACCTTCGGAACAGGGAAGCAGATTCTTCCCAGAATTCTTCTCTTAGAATTATCCGTGAGTTTCATGGGCTCTGGTGGTGTTCTTTCACCTTCTCCACAGCCCATTTTCATCATGGGGCCCCCAGAACCCAACAAGTGATGTTTGGTACCCAAAAGATGGATTATGGATCAGGTGGTACACCCAGGTAATGGGAAGATGACGTTTTTTCTTTTATGCCTTACCATCAAAGCAAGGACTTGGCAGTGCCATTGCAAGTCTCACCAAACAGCGAGTCTAGCTGGACAGTCCACATGAGGCGGGATTCATTACGAAGAATCAGGCAAAGGGGAGGTTCAGGGGTAGGGGAGAAAGGACCCCTGAGAAGGGGCAGATGATTTATGGATAGTACTTGCTGTGAAAGCCCAGTGAGCCCAGAAGCTAGATCTCACTCTCATCTACAGAGAAGGTAACGGGGCCTATCAAGATTTCAACACTTACCCAGGGGTTCATGGCTAGGAGGCAGGGGAGACCAGATTCAAACCAAGCAAGGTTTGTCCAATCTCAAGGTCAGTGTTTTTCTTTAGAAAAACAAAAAAATATGTGTTCTCCAATCATTAACCTATATCTATCTTACTTTTTGTTCCTTCTAAGCTCAGTGTAAACTTAGTGAACTCCAAAATTGGCATTGGGGTGAGATTAATGGGCTTCTGAATTTTAAAAAGGAGAGAAAGAAAAAACACTTTTTACCCATCTTCTGACTAATAAAGGAAGAGTGATACTTTCTTCTCATGAGGAAAACCTTTGCCATTTCATAATGATAACACAAGGGGTGTTGATGATCAGTAACAGCAAGCTCTGTGTATGTGTGTGTGTTCCTTCTCCCGCCAGGGTGTGGAATCCGTGCAAGCAGCAAAGGAAAAAGAGAAAAAGAACAACCACTAATGACATTTCCACTCTTGTTCCTGGTGCCGGTCCCTGTGTGTTTTACTGTTAGCTCATCTGCAGAGACTCGGGACAAGTGAAACTCACTCCCCTGAACTCAGGCTGCCAGGATGACGAGAAAAGCAAGCCACGTCACCTCAGGGTGGATAATGGCTGCCTCCAGGGTCTGGCCCAGGCCCCAGGACTTAGCGGTACAAGAGAACGAGGGAAAAGGGGCCTCTGTTCTCTGAGGAGTACAGGATCGGCAAAGTCAAAGAGGTCTTAGCTCGGAGGGCTCTGGTGCTGACCCTGCGAGGAGCAGGCCCTTCCCCCCGGGCGCTGCTTTGTGAACCCTTCATAGAAATCTTGCGTGTCATGGGAAGGGACAGGGCATGGGGGAGGGGAAGGGGGAAGGGGATGGACGGACGGACGGAAGAAGGACGCTTTTCAAACTCTCTCCAGGGAAGATGATTCCATGGTCGAATCATCTCATTGTTGCCTCCATCCCTGGACGGTCTTTATCAGATGTCCTGGGATCCATGTGTCTGGTGTCATGATAGAATTAGTCTTCACTTCATTCTCTAAGGGCCCCTTTGGCACTCGAGGGGTGGGTCAGAGCAGCGTGGTGGGGGACAGTGAAAGGGCCCAGTCAGCAGTCAACCCAGCTGCTCATGCGCAGTCAGCCGGGAGAGTGGGAAGTCCCGGCCAGGTCCTGGAATCCCCACTTGGTTGCTCTCCAGGTGGCCTGTAGTCCCAATCAGGAAATCGGATATCCAGAGATAACCCCAAGTGCACTATTGCCTCTGAATTCCAGATTTGACAATTTTCATTCAAACCATGATTTAGGAATTGGTGACTCGGTGCTGACACCTGTCTGCAGTACCTGTAAAGTCCTTTCTTAGTATTCATGGTAACATATTGCCAAACTGAATTCTGTACTGGGGCACATGAGTGTTCTGCACGAATCATTTGTGTATGACCTTCCCTAACTTGAGCCCCTTCTGCATTGCTCTCCGTGAGTCTTTATGATTGGGAAGTGTGACAGTGACTGTTCCTGTTGCTACCTCACCCCAGGGGGCCTTGGGTGCTGGGAGACTCAGAGTGGGAGTGAGGCAGGGAGATGCCATTTCCCTTAGACACAACCGCCAAGACGGAGGCCCTGTGTATATATAGTGTCTTCTTCCAGGTCACAGGGAAATTCTAACGTAGGGCTTCTTTCACTTTTCTTTTTTAAAGCAAACTAGCCCACACTGAGCATAGGAGGCCTCCAGAGATACCCCCTATTTGACTAATGAGGAAACTGAGGCCCAAAGAAGGGACTTGCCCAAGGTCACAGAACTAAAAGCCCAGAGCCCTAGATTCCCAGCTCAGTGCTGTATTTCATTCTACAAGCCACGTGTTAGCTGTGCTTTGCTGTCCCCTTTCTTTTATTTAATCCTAGAGCCAAGAGCTCCGTTCGTTCATTCATTCACGCACTCCCTCACTCTGTTACAGGAATCGGGATTACCCTGGTAGCCTTCACAGGCAGCCACGGAGCAGGGATCCTGCCCTCTGAGCCCATGGCCAGGGTCCTGGAGGGCGTGGGGGGCAAGTGGGTGTTCAGTGTCCGCCTCCTTCTCCCTCTTGCCTTCTGAGGCCTCCCTCACTGAGCAGAGCGGACCTCCGCCCTCTCTTTTGCCCTCCTCCCCCTCCCACCGCCAGGCGTGGTATGTGCAGGATCAGAGTTCTGGAAAGGTTACACCCGGGTCCTCTCGCCGGGGTGAAATGCGAGCCCCCTGGGCAAAGACTCCTTGCACATAGAAGGACCGAATCCCGGACTCCGCGTGCCTCGCTCCACACGCTCCTGCCCACGAGCGGCCGAGAAGCAGCCCAGCCCGCCCCTCCCCCGCCCACC